ACCCCCCCCCCAGCAGGAAAAGGGTTAAACTACATGGCTACTTATAGTTGAACCACATTTGAACTTAAACTGGGTCCACAAGAAATAAAAAAATCGCTTGTTAGCAAAGAGAATAGAATATATATAAAATATTATATTCTCTTTGCTTATTAGGCAGCAAAAGATGGTTGGCTGTTATTATTAAGCGATTTTTTTGTTGAATATAAGTAAATTTTTATTTCAAAATTTAACCCTATTCCGATGGGCTTTTTAAAAAAAATGTATCATATGTTATAGATTGGTATCACAATAAGGAAATGGAGGGGGTTAACTGTACACCCACACATTTGTACAGAGTAAATAAATACTTGCCGCAACCCTTTATATTCAATACGTGCTGTATGTCAGTAGATTTTACCGTAGATAAATTGCCATTTTCAATTTTAGCTGTAACCCAACGGTATGGTGAAGACGACATTAGATAATTATTCTAATTTATCTAAGGTGTACACGGCACGCATTTTAACTAAATATACTTAACACACTCTTTATTAAATCTGTTCCAAGGGAGAACTCTGTCTTTTGGTTCCAGTAACTGTTTATCAGCAGGAGAAGAATGTGTTCTACCGACTGCTTCAACGTAATTTTTAGAAGTTTTGTGTTTTTACTGCCATATGACAAACATGCATATTTCCCCCGACAAGGGGATTTTAAGTTACTCAACTTTCTTTGTGACAATTAAGTAAATAAAACAATTCTCGCATTTTCATCTCAAAAAAATATAAAATTTTTTTTTTTTAAATTAGTAATTTTACTTACCCACTGGTTCACTCGACCATTTTTGCCAAAAAAAAAACACATCCCGCTTCGCTCTGGTAAAATAAAATTTCCGTAATTTTAAAGTGAGGCTTTAAATCAACATTTGATTGATTGTAATCAAACTGGCCGAGCAGCAGTTCAAATAAAACACGCATTTGCCTCTTTAACATTTTTAAAAAATAATTTAAATTTTAACAATACAATGGGGTGGGGTGGGGGGCACGTATCCACGACCCCGAACAATATAACATTTTCAATAACATTTTTTGTTTTTGTTTTGTTTTACAATATTTTAAAACACATTTTATTTTCATAAATCTGTTTAACTTTTTGTTAAAATGTCAAAATAATCAAAGCCAAATAAAAATGTTGGAAATTTTCATTTGAAACTTTTATAGTTTAATTATTTGTATTTGTTTAGTCCTATAACTGAGGTTTGTTGCCAAGATCAGATGTTAGTGTGTATAAGGTTTAATTATTTGTATTTGTTTAGTCCTATAACTGAGGTTTGTTGCCAAGATCAGATGTTAGTGTGTATAGAGGATCCTGATGAGGAGTTTAGTATAATCCCTTCAAGAGCTATAAATGATGGAATAGCCACAATGATTCCAAAAACCCCTGAACAGTTTATCGAGATTAAAGGGACTGTAAGCGTTATTGCAAATTTCATGCAGTGATGAGAATGCCCGATTCACAACGGTACCCTGGATCTAATTAGAATCAGATGTTAAACATTATAATTTGAAGAACTGATTTAAATTATGATTTGAATTGCACAATTATGCTCCAGGAACACATAAAGGAATAATGATCAGAATAAAACACACTTTAAACCTAGGAAAACGATAAAATCTTCCACATTATTGATCAGATAAAGGTTTCAAGGGTACCATTGTGAATCAGGTATTTTCATCTTTGCATTAAGTACCCCTTAGAATTGCGCTTACAATCACTTTTAAAGAAATGTTTTTTGATCGAGGCCTTGAGGATGCTAAGAACAGGAAAAGAGTCTGTGCTGAGATGATTTAATAGTAAATGATATTTTGAAATTTTTTTATTTGATAAATATATCTTAATTTAAGTTATTTGTTTGACTTCACTGTTTATTGTACTATATGCTTTTAGGGTGCAATTCGCGCCCATCTTCTATTTAAATTTAAACATTTTCTCTTTGTATACATTGTTAAACAAATCACCCATCTTCTATTTAAATTTAAACATTTTCTCTTTGTATACATTGTTAAACAAAAACAACAAAAATTTTGTGGATTTACAAAATTGCCAAAAATCGAATTTCATTAAAGGCTAATTTTTAAAAAATTCATAAACCTTCCCTGGCGTCACGCGAGGTCTCACAAAACATTTGGGCCCGCTCGGTTCAGCCGTTTTGACGTTTATTGCATGCAAACAAACACCAAAACGAACACCCACTTAGACAGTCTAGCAAAGTATATATACAGAATATAGATGAATTTCACTAGAATGGTATAATTCAATTTGTCCCGTTTTTTAGTTTATTTTCTGTAGTTTCTCAGTGTGTAAAATTATTATTATTATTAATTGTTAAGATTATAATGCTTTTCGATATTCTGAGGTTAGAATAAATGCATAGAGAGAGATGTGGTTTAAATTATATATTTTAATTACTTGTTTACTGAGTTCTCTGCGACTCTCGTTGAAGAAGTAGTTTATTTGTTCATAATACAGTGGTATAAGCAATTATATCAATACAATGAAGACGACTTTTTTAAGTTTTGATTGTTAACGATTTTTTAAAGAATTTCAAGGTTTTAAGTAATCAAAGAGATGCTTTTTTAATTGATAGCTTCTTTTGACTTTTATGTTTAACAGCTTTATTTCAAAAGTCGTCTTCATTATACTGATATAATCGCTTACCACTGCAGTACAACAACTATTTACCAATTATTAATCTCGCTCTATAGTGATTGATGACTTAAATAATTCATAAATAATATAAATTATGAAAATAAAGACTTCCTTGGAGTTTATATTTTGCATCTTGAAATTGTTGTAAAACCAGGAATTGTACTTCAATTTGTTTTCAACAAGAATGTGATGTATTTCTACCCTGCGTTTACAAATCAATCAACATTTGTGATCGCATTTGATGGAATTATATTTACCACTAAAATTTATCAATTTTCTCAATTCTCAATTCTCAATGGCCACAAAATCAAATTTTATAACATTTTAAAAAAAAATTGATATTTAAAACTGTGAATACTGTCATGTCAAACTTTGAATTGATAAAGGTCAGGATGCAAAGATAAAGGAATTTGAAAAGTATAGTTTGCTGATGTGAGTAATCAATTTTTATATTAATTTTGCATGATTTTTAGAAAAGTTTATGGTTTAAAAAAAGCTTTTTTATTTATTCATTATTTTTCATTTTTAGATTTCAATTACCTAAGTTAAAGTTCACTTAACAAATAAAAACTCATTTTATAGAAGTATATATATATATATATATATATATACAAAATAATAAACTGGTCACGTGATTTAAGTTTAAGATTTTCTAAATTTTACATATATGAACTTTCGTATGATTTTAACACAGTTTTATATCAATTTCTCTAGATAGTAACATCAGATAAAACTTTCATGGGTCTCGATCAAGAGCTAAAGTGATTAGCTTTCAGCCTATACCCCCTTTCATTTTTCCTTTACTGTCCCTTTAATTCTTATTTTTTACATTTAAGATGCTAATTACATAATTTAATTGTATTTCTTTTGATTACTACAGACTAGTAAAATTTACTATAAAATTGATATTTTGTTTTATCGGCTATGAAGTAGATTTACGTACTAAATATAACCAAATAATAGAATAAAACAGTTCAAATGATTTTTTAGGCGAAGAATATATTTCATCCTATAATCTAAATTCCATTACAATCTAGAAACATTAAAATTCCACAGTCAAAGGACATGCCAGGCGAAAATACATTTTTGAATGCCGTACTTTTATTGAAATGTAGCTAATCATGGAGCGGAATTAATCCAAGATCAGTACGAAGATACGGTCGGACCGGTAAGAATCTAGTAGAGCTTTCCAAAATCCTGAGATTCTGAAATGCCATTGTGCAGATTATTGCCTAGCTGCAGTACAAACAAGCCGACGATTATTTAAAGCTTCCACTCCGAGCCTGTAACCTTCAGCATACTCTCTCCGTCGTTGTTGTGGTCCTGATAGGATCACTTGATCACTAATGTTTAGACCAGAAACTATTCCCTCCATACTATTAAAATCAAAACTGATGCTGGGTTTAGAGTCTACAGCACTGAGTTTAGGCTGAGGGGAGTCAGGATCTTCTATGCAGATCAGGTTAAGATGTTGGCAACACTGGTTGGATAATTTTCTAAAAGTGAATTTTCAATTATAACATATTATAATGGTCATATCGACATAATTTCAACTTTATAGAATGCTGACCTTTAACCTTTCTTGATCAAAATAATGAACAATTGTCCTTTTTTCTCTCGGTTTCATCTTTTTCAAGTGAGTTGCGGATTTACATAGCAGCGACAAAACATAAAACTAAAAAAATTCCCCAATTTTTAAGATGTGAAAACGACGTTATCTTTCAAAAATGTGAATTGGGCGCACAACTCTATAAACGGGGAATTACTTAATGGGAGTGTTCGCGAAAAATATTTTCATCATATTTTTGATTTTTTCTAAATAACATTTGGCTGGGGCTGAATTTAAGAACAATCCTGGAAAAAAAATAAAAATGTCGTCTTCATTATCAAAAATCCTCGAAAAAAGAATAAATGTTTTCAAAAGTAACTATCAGATCATAAAGAATAAAAAGTATTGTAAGCTTTACACGAATGTGTCGAAAAATTGTCGATGATTATCGGTCGTAATATCTGAATGATTTGTTTGGAATTAAATTGATTTATTACGATACTAGCTGAATGTTGCAACTTTCTCTGCAGATATAGGGATTAGAATATTGTATTATTGGCAACCTAAAAATCCGCAAAATTTTTGATTAAATAAAACTTACGTTGCTGGAGTATCAGCAGTACATCTCTGGCCTGCAGTTAAACATGACCCTATTGAGAACCCGAACCCAAGACTGGAGTTGATTAGTTTCAAGATACAGAGAAGAGAAAATAGGAACTGCATGGTTTAACAACTCAGCTCGGACTGTGCAGGTCTGCAGGTCTGAAGTAGTAAAATCCTTTTATGGCCTCCTGCATGCGAAACCTAATTTTATAGAATTTCTTTTCCCTATTTTTCCTTGAAATTGTGAAGTTTTTTTTTCAAAAATACATTTTACAGGTTGAACTTACCAGTACAGCTGAACTCTGCAAGGATGTCTATACAAATGGTAAATCCCTATATGGCGTCCTACATTCAGAAACCCATCTTTATATATTTACTTTTACTCTACTTTACTTTGCATTTCTTTACTTTAATTTACTTTACTTCCTTTACTTTACTTTACTTTACTTTACTTTACTTTACTTTACTTTACTTTACTTTACTTTACTTTACTTTACTTTACTTTACTTTACTTTACTTTACTTTACTTTACTTTACTTTATTTTACTTTACTTTACTTTACTTTACTTTACTTTACTTTACTTTACTCAGAACCCTCAGCCTTTATAGGGTTAAACAAGATTTTAAACTACTTTCAAGGTTTGTTAAATATTGTAGAGAATATGTACCATCGAATTCATTTCATTCTGTATCTTTTAAATTTCTCTCTTGTAAAATGATAACTAAAATAAACATTTCTAATAACAATGCCATGGGTTTTCGGTCATAATTAACCATGAAGTTAGATGTGAACAACTGTAATAAATACAGTGGCAGATCCAACAGTAACCTGAACCTATTACGTTGTACATTGTTTGTAAATTTGAATGCAGAATATAATCAGTAAATATACAAATTGCGGTCAACTTAACCTGGATACATCTATAAATAACTACGTCAAACTAGGGAGGCAACCCTCGAATGCCATGAGCCTCTGCTATCAGACATCGAGCCTCCCAGATTCCCTAGGCAGACCGTGCCTCCGCTATGCAGTAAACGAGCCTCCACCATACAGCACAGCTTTTTTTAAATCTTGGTTTTTATGATTGATGAAAACTTTTAACAATTTTAGATTTAAATAATAAATACAAATTTTTTAGATTGAATTTGAAGTTCAAAAAAAGGTATCGCTAAAATCAAAGATTATAAAAGATGAAATGAAATTCAATTCAAATTTTTTTCTCAATAATTTCCTTTTCTTGTAAAAAATGTTTAAAGTTTTAGTCATAATTAGTCACTATTTATGATAATTAATAAATACTTCTCATCTTTGAGAAGCCTCTCATGCCACTATGTCTAAAAATTTCAAAAATCTGTTATTTAAACTTAAAACACAAGTTTAAAAAAACCTCTTGTATTACACAGGCACATTTTGATGTGTTGCTCATGCTCATTTCTGCAAAGCGGAGGCTTGGTCTGCCTAGCAACTCTGGGAGGCTCGTGTCTGCATAGCGGAGGCTCATGGCTTCCGGGGGTTCCCTCCCTCGTCAAACCCATATTGAGATTAGCTGAACTATGTTTGTATGTAAAGATGCGAAACTTGTAATTACGTCTATTAAATTTAACTTGTAACCTAGAACCCAGAATAAACTCAGTTGGAATAGACTCCACTTAGATTACAGTGGGGGAAGTAATCGTTTCTTGTTTAGCAAAGTTGATGAGATTGTGTCCGTGTTTGACATTGATGGCTAAAGAGATCGTGTCCGTGTTTGACATTGATGGCTCAAGAGATTGTGTCCGTGTTTGACATTGATGGCTCAAGAGATTGTGTCCATGTTTGACATTGACGGCTAATGAGATCGTGTCCGTGTTTGACATTGATGGCTCAAGAAATTGTGTCCATGTTTGACATTGATGGCTAAAGAGATCGTTTCCGTGTTTGACATAGTTAATTTATGAGATCGTGTCAATGTTTGACATTGATGACTCAAGAAATCGTGTCCGTGTTTGGCATTGATAGTTTATGAAATTGTGTCCGTGTTTTACTTGATGGCTCAAGAGAGGTTGTGGCCGTGTTTGGCATTAATAGTTTATGAGGTTGTGCCCGTGTTTGGCATTAGTAGTTTATGAGGTTGTGCCCGTGTTTGGCATTAATAGTTTATGAGGTTGTGCCCGTGTTTGGCATTGATAGTTATGAGATTGTGCCCGTGTTTGGCATTGATAGTGAAGAGTTGTTTAACTAATTAGCTTTTATGCTTTGTAGACCACTTAAGTTTCAGTAGAAGTAAATATTTCCATTTACTGTTTAGCGCCGATTAAAGGATACATCTGTAATTGGATGATGGCTTTATGAGTATAGATAGATAGATAGATAGATGTTACCGCCATGCATTTTCTATTGGTTCAGAATAGACACCAAGCACATGACTGAACCCTGATTGGATCAGGCGCTAATGAAATCGGTGTGTGTGTGAGACCAACGGGAGAAATTGAGTTGTACATGGAATGAAATAAGCTGAGATACGCTTATGGAGTAGGGCATTTAGTACAAAACTGCTTTCAAGATATTAACTTTAAAAAAAGTTGAATATTTTAACTTTGTTTGGTTATGATGTTTTCTCCAGTCAATACTATGAGCTACTATACTCAAAACAAAACCAAAAAATGTATTTTAAACTTTTTTATTTCATACATTATAAATTTTTACAATAAAATAATCACACAAAAACTAATATTTCATAAGCACATATTCTAATGTTTATTCGCATATTACTATTTGAAAGATACTTATGGTAAGGCTGGGGTGCAAATCCTGGCTTGACTATTATATGCTTCTACTCCTAATTGATAAACCCGATCTTGTTCTGCATTATTGTTTTCTACAGACAAAACAGATGCTATTGATACCTCAAGGGGATTCAGAAATGGTGTCCTAGGTATAGAGATGGGGTTGTTCGCCTTTTTAGATTCGTTCATCGTTTGTTAAAAATTCTAATCCGTTTGTTTTTAGAATTATTGTTCATTTTCCGTCTTTTTCATATGTTTTCTAACTTTTATCATCGTTCATTTAAAAAGTTTGGTCGTTGAGATTTTTCCGCCAGTAAAATATTTCGGTTATTAAAAAAATATAGTTTTTTTTTGATTTTTCCAATTCTGTCAAAAAAACGATTTAGGAGTTTTTTGTTCACCATCTCACTGATCAATGAAATACAAACATTGTTTAAAAAAATGTCTGTGTTTTTTTATCTCTCTTAAGTCTTAATGCATGATCCAATTCGTTTGTTATTTTTCTTGAAAACTTGTTTGGTTTAAAATATATTGATGCCCATCTCTACCTAGGAATGGCTTCTGCTGCCCCTAGAACAGGAGGTGGTATAGTTGGATCCTCGAGACATATTAGGTTCTGATGCTGACAACATTGGTTAGATATTCGCCTAAAATAATATAACATTAATATTTCATCTTTAACCCTAAACAAGGTAATCTATTCTTTCTACTCCCCCCCCCCCCCCTATGATTTTGCCTATAGAGTTGAACATTTTTTGAAAATTGTATACAGCTAACTTGAATAGTTTAGGTGCTGAGAAGGCCGTAAAGAATACTGTGAAAAGGTTCGTCAGATAAATATCGGAAGGTAAAGTTCTTCTATACATTAAGGGGAGGAAGGCCTGCCACAACAATTTCTAGTCCGAGTCACATTCTCCTTTTTCTCGTCCGAGCCACCTCAAAATCCTCGTCTTTCATTTATTATGGGTTTTAAAGTTTCTAATTCTTGAAGATAAAACGACTTTTTTAATCTGGCCACGTTAGGGCATAAAATATGGGCAGACTGAAGTATTGCCATGATTACATCAATTTGGAAATGGAATCTTTAAAGCTAGTAGAATGATGTCAAACTTAACTTAGTTAAAACTAAAATCTCTTCTGCCACCAAAATGGCTAACCTTCGGGACGGGAAATAAACTGCCTATAATTTTTCGCATGGAACCACCCGGAAAAATACTATTGTTTTCACTATAATCATTAAAAAAGATTAAAGTTCTATAAACTCAGAATTATATGCGGCATGTAACACCAGGATTATCTGAAAAAGGTCAACATTTTCAAAGATATTAAACTTAAAAACATTATTCAATAAAACTTTTTTTCCATTTACAAAAAACGTGACCTGATTCTTGAAAAATAGTTTTTTCTTGGAGGATTAGATTCTTTAAAAAAATAATATTGGAATGACGACGATTTCGAGATGGCTCGGACGAGAAGATGAGAAAAATGTGACTCAGACTAGAAATTGTGGTGGATGGCCTTCCTCACCTCATCCATTTTTTAATAACTTTTGAAATATGTAAGTTTTCATTGTAGGAATAAATGGGACATGTTTTTCAAAAACACCAACCAGCCTTTTCGACCGAATTAAACATGTAAGTAAAGATAAGTAATGATATTTTTTTAAATTTTAATATATGTTTTGTAAAATTGAATCGAATAATGTTAAATTTACTAAGATATGAAAACTTGTTTATTGTTGTTTGGGCAGCTTCCTAATTGCTAAATTAAATGAGTTAGAGCAAAAAAAATCAACAAAATCAAAATCATATAATATCAATTTTTTTATAAAAGCCGTAAATATCTTACAAGGAAGCTGTTCTGATCTATGTTTACTCTGGCTAGGTTCACTTAAATTGCTTTGTTTGAGACAGTATCATTTTCAGAAACTAGACTTTTGCTAAATTGATACTTAGAAAGTTGGACATAGTGATTTTTAAAAAATTAAAAATTTTGAAATTGAAAAAATATGTTTGGTATCAAGACAACTTCAAATTAAGTCTTTTTGAAACGTTTGTACTTTGTAGTGTAGTTTTGAAGTACACATACATAGATGGAAACGGAGGTGAGCATCTCTCTCCTCTACCCAAGCAGGATGAAACAGATATCCCTGCTATTCCAAGTCCAGTCTGGATAAAGCTGATGAAGAGTATAAATGCTAGGATCTGCATTGTTCAGTGGTGCAGATACGAATGGCTCAATGTTTTATCCTTTCTTACTTTCTAAACATTTCAGAGAAATCTTAGAAAATGACATTTCAAATAGGATGTAGTTAAAAGCTTAAAATTCTGATTAATTGCCATTTTACAAATGCATTAAATTTCCCCCTTACCCTTGGTATTTTTTTGCAATTTCTCGCAAATTTCGACTTGGTTTACAAAGACTTTTCTAGGAATTGACATTTCAAGTAGATTAAAGCATTTTATTAAGAGATTATAAGCCATTTCTATGAAATAAAATTTATGGTCTTTTTGCATTTATAATTGTTAAGGTTCTACACCACCATTATTAGTAGAAAATGAACATTGGCACAAGATTATTTAGCACCGTACATAATGCATTTATTAGCTTACATCGTATCAACAGTATTAATGCAAAGATGAGAAAATCCTGTATATGACCTTTCCGTATTAAGAAATTACCTATCTCTCGACAATTTTCTCTGTTTATTAATGTTCAACCCCCCCACCCCCCCCCCCTCCCCATGAATGCAAAGAGTAAACGGAATATAAATCTTTATTGTTTTGCAGACTTTCACTAAAGACGTAAAATTAATATGCGTCATCAGGCTTTTACAAATAGATTAGGACAATGAGTTTCAAATTTGCATTTTATATTTTGTTTACAGGCTATGTAAGGTTTCTTCCTGATAGTGATGGAAATTGTTCTGTAGAAGAATTTTAAACCATTTAATTTAAACTAAAATTGTGCTAAAGCATCTTTGTATTTACAAGCTGAGATCATGCCCATTGGTTTGGCATAAGAGCTCGTGTCTCTGTTGACATTGATAGCTGGTACTCGCTGAAACATATGAGCTGAGATTGTTCCCATTGGTAGAAATGTCAGACAATATTTAGAAAATGTCAGACCATATTTAGAAAATGTCAGACAATATTTAGAAAATGTCAGACAATATTTAGGAAATGGGAGACCATATTTAGAAAATGTTAGACCATATTTAGAAAATGGGAGACCATATTTAGAAAATGGCAGACCATATTTAGAAAATGTCAGACAATATTTAGAAAATGTTAGACCATATTTAGAATGTCAAACTATATTCAGAAGATGTAAGACCGTATTTAGAAAACGGAAAACCATATTTAGATAATGTCAGACCGTATTTAGAAAATGTCAGACCATATTTAGAAAATGGCAGACCATATTTAGAATATGTCAAACTATATTCAAAAGATGTCAGACCGTATTTAAAAAACGGCAGACCATATTTAGATAATGTCAGACCATATTTAGAAAATGTAAGACCATAATTAGAAAATGTAAGACCTATTTAGAAAATGTTAGACCATATTTAAGAAATGGCAGACCTATTTAGAAAATATTAGACCATATTTAGAAAATGTTAGACCATATTTAGAAAATGTTAGACCATATTTAGAAAATGTTAGACCGTATTTAGAAAATGTCAGACCATATTTAGAAAATGGCAGACTATATTCAGAAAATGGCAGGGATATTTTGATATAAGAATTTAAAAAATCATTTATCTTTTTTTCATTTTCCGTTAGTTTTGGGTTTACAAATATTACATTGGTTACATTGATTAAATTGTATATTTTCTAAGATAACATTTGCGGATTTGTTTTTAAAATTATAATTATTGTATTAAAGTTTTTTCTTTTAGAAAGAAATTACTGTATTTGATTAAGTTTACGATTAGATATTATATATATATATATATATGTCTAGAGAATATGCGGGTCATCTTGGATAATCTTCATATTTAGTGTAAAGGCTATCCCTCTTGCTGTACATAACGTTCAGATAGTTTGCTATCATTTGCCATCATGGAGTTGAATACTAAATATGTCCTTAGATTGATATTGTATTAGGATTACATCTTCTTGGATTTCTTGTAAGTCTGTATACACCGTGTCAGGCTCAACAGCCTGATATAAATGTGTTATATTCTATTATCTCGTTCCCCCTTTTGGGATTCAAGTTTGGCCTTAGCCATGTTGATGTATATATAAAAAGAAGTTTTTGTAAAAGAAGGAAATTAATTATTTTTCTTCTTTATTTATTTATTATATAACCCCTCCCCCTTACATTGACGTGGATAGGTAAAGATATGAAGGGATATTATGAATAATAACTTTGTTCTAATATTCAGAACTTCAGTAAATGGCAGTACCTAGATATAAGGGGATGTGTCAATGAGGTTATAGTATGTATCTATATCTGATTTTATTACAGTGTGGTAGCAAGACAAACAGTAGAAATATGGTCATTTTCAATCTTTATTTTTTTCTGTGAAATTTTGCAAATTTAGAATTTTTTATTGTTAAAGGGACTGTAAGCTTAATTTCAAGTGATCCTCCATACAATGATGGCAATGCCCGATTCACAAAAGTACCCTAAAAAGCTTTGTCACATCGAAATTAGTTAGATTTTAATTTTGTTGTTTATTTAAACTGTTTAACTTCATTTACGGTTTCTCTGCTAAAGTGACTTGCTCGTTTCTTTTTATAAGAAGCAATGAATAAATTTACAGAAATAAACACTATTCGGTTCAGATGAACGATGTTATCTTCAACATTTTTGATCAGATTTAGGTTTGAAGGGTGCTGTTGTAAATCGGGCATAGGTATCTATTTATTGAGGGTCACTTGAAATTACGCTCATAAATCACAATTTGCAATATTTATATTTTACTTCTTTATATTCTGTGCAACCATAATAAATCTCAGTTCACAATATTTATATTTTACTCCTTTATATTCTGTGCAATCATAATAAATCACAATTCACAATATATATATTTTACTCCTTTATATTCTGTACAACCATGATAAATCACAATTCACAATATTTATATTTTACTTCATTATATTCTGTGCAATCATAATAAATCACAATTCACAATATTTATATTTTACTCCTTTATATTCTGTACAATCATGAAAAATCACAATTCACAATATTTATATTTTACTTCATTATATTCTGTGCAACCATGATAAATCACAATTCACAATATTTATATTTTGCTTCTTTACATTCTGTGCAACCATGATAAATCGCAATTCACAATAATTATATTTTACTTCTTTATATTCTGTGCAACCATAATAAATCACAATTCACAATATTTATATTTTACCTCTTTATATTCCGTGCAACCATGATCAATCACAATTCACAAATATTCCTAAAATAAAAACATTAGAAGAAAAATGGCTAACGATACAGATAGTATTGCTGGGATTGAACTGGATACATCTAAACTTCCAGCTTTTCTAGGTTGTAAACATACAGTAGAACTCATTAAACTCTGGAATAGGAAGAAGAGATTTGTATTTAATGTCAGCTTAAAGGGAGTGACCGGCTATGTAAGGTAGTTGAACTGAGTATGTTGTGGAAAACTTCCTTCGGATTCATTTGAAACATATTAAACTTTTTAAAGATCTGTAAATCCTGAGTTTTAGCGCAAATTCGACGTTTAAAACTCCTACTTTGGGGGTGGATACGTTTTCAGAATTAGTTTTTTTAAACTATTAAATAACGACAACGAAAAATAAATTAACAATTATAGAGTAATCTAATTAGATGGTTAGGAACATATTTCTCAAAAGAAATTTGTCATTAAATCAATGCTAAAATCGATTATTTCGTTTTCATTATTATATTTAATTTCTTATTTTCTTTGAGTTTATTCGCAGATTTCTTCAAATTATTCAAATGTCATCATTTCAACAATAATTCTAGAAAATCTTTGTGAATAATGAGAAACCAGAATAATGAGAAAATAGAAACTAATAATTGAAACAAGATTATCTTTTTTCGATGATAAGATTAATTTTTATTTTCTCAACATGTTCCTATACATGACGTCTACAGTTTATTGTAGAACTTTTTTACATTTTATGTCGTCGTTATTTAATAATTAAAAAAACAAATTCAGAAAACGTATCCACCCCCAAAGTAATAGTTTTGAACGTCGAATTTGCGCTCAAACTCAGGATTTACAGATCTTTAAAAAGTTTAATATGTCTCAAATGAATCCGAAGGAAGTTTTCCACAACATACTCAGTTTAACTACCTTACATATAACTTTTTTTTTTGTCTGAAGGTATAAACTTTTTTGACCAAAACTATAACCAAAATTACAACTATTTCTTATTAAGAAATAGAACCATTTTTTAAACAAAAAATATATATGTTTTTAACCTAAAATATAAACATAGTCCATACTATTCTCCTCTTTAACCTAAAATATAAACATTTTTAACTTGAAATTTAACCATTAAACGAATTTCTAATGATCAGAATCAATTATTATTAATGCGTAAATGTAATCCCTCTAAAATAGAAATATAAAAAAGAAAAATTAAATATGGAAAGGAAGTAACAAGTATACATGTAAATAGTAAAGTCTTTGCATACATTGACAAGGCATTTAAAACCAACTTTTGGTCGAAAATGGTTATATTTTGGTCGTTATATTTTTAGTAAAAAATTATTATACGTTGGTCGAATATGGTTGTATTTTTGGTAAAAAAAGGTATAGTTTTGGCTAAAAAATGGTAATATTTTCAGTCGAAAAAGTTATATTTTTGGTCGAAAATAGTTTTTTGGTCGAAATATTTAATTTTTAGCTAAAAAAGTAAAATTTTTGGCTTAAAATTAATAAATTTTAGGTCGAAACAAGTTATTTTTTGGTTAAGAAAATTTATTTTCTTGGTTAAATAAATGGTTATATTTTTAGTCAAAAAAAAGTTATATTTTTGGTCAAAAATGGTTCTATTATTGGTCAAAAATGGTTCTATTTTCCCCGCCCATCATGTCAATGCAGTTAACCAAATGTTAATCAATTAAGATTTTATTTAAGTGTCCCTGTTTCAGCGGATAACAGTAAAACCGACTTTGCTCTTTATTCTAAAAGATATAAGAAGAATAAAGCTCTCAAGATGCTCAGGTAGGAATATCAACTCAACCCCTCCCCCCCCCTTCTCTCAAATTAAAAAAAAAACTTTTAAAGGGACTCTAATAAAAACGCATAAATAACTTCCAGTATATATATTTCTTATAACTTATTACTAGAGGGTTCAGAATATGAGTTAGTATCGATATCACACGTGTGTAGAAGTTTGACAGTACAATGCCCCGTATACGTTCTATCTCATTCTGTTGAATCTTGTGGAACTTGTTTAACGCGGCCAGGCATCGTCTTCCACACTATCTTTGAAATCTGATAATTTATAAATAATAAATTTTGTATATGCTGGCTTATAAAGTGATAATAGGCCGTTGCCTCTAAAGCTATAAAATACTCAATTCATATTTTATATCAAGAACAATTTCTGCGTTTTTTTGCAATGAAAACTCCTATTTGTAAAACAAAAAACTATTTAAAAACAGATAAAAGAAAGATTTTTCTTAATTTTTTTATTTTAAAAATATAACATTCCACTTACACTTCCATTATATTTTCATTTCTGTTCCACGCAACAGATTCCTAATTTTTATGCATTTTTTTCAGAAAATGATTATCGAAAAGATTCCAATAACGACTTACATAGAAAATTGAACACTATCATTTTTTATTCTACTTACAACGGAGTCACTAACCAACTATTTTTTCGGTCAGAGTACTAAAAATCACTGCAATACATCGAAAAAAAGAGAAATATTTTCTTGTTTGTCTGGGAATTTAAAACGATTTAAAAACATTGTCTCAATTGTAAAATTTCTTGAAACGATGCTTTTCCCTTCACAAATTGGAAAAAAAAACATTAGCTACAATTTTATTAGAGACTTGGTCTTGTTTGACCTAAATGATCGATCAACCCAACTTATTATAAAGTTTTATAATAGCTTTTAGAACTATCTTAACAATAAAACAATTAGAACTCTAAGAGTACACAATATTCAATACTAATAGAAAGCAGGAAAGCAGTCAATTAATTTAGTTAAACACTGACGATTCATTAGATTAGATGATTCTAAAGCTTTGAAAATTCAAAAGATAATTGATTTGATTCATTGATAAGATAAATCGATTAAACGATTCAAAGGTTTAATTAATTTTTCCTTACATGTATGATTCTTTCCAACCGTAAAATGTTACTTAATTAATTTTTCCTTACATATATGATTCTTTCCAAGCGTAAAATTATTTCTTTATTCATTTTTTCTTACATATATGATTCTTTCCAACCGTAAAATGTTTCTTAATTAATTTTTCCTTATATATATGATTCTTTCCAAGCGTAAAATTATTTCTTAATTCATTTTTCCTTCCATATATGATTCTTTCCAACCGTAAAGTTATTTCTTTATTAATTTTTCCATACATATATGATGCTCTGGAACTTTAAACTTATTTCCTTGATAAACCTTAAAAAGGTCATATAAAAGACTTAATTTAACCATGATAAATAAATGTTGCTACCTTGACCAAGGGGTCAAATGTAACATTTTTTACATTTGTGACAACTCTCTTATTGTTACAGTTACATTTACGATTACCGTTATGGTTATGGTTACGATCAATGTTACCTGTTACAGATACGGTTATAGTTATGGTTACGGTTACGATTACGGTTACGGCTACAGTTACGGCTACGGTTACAGCTACAGTTAAGGCTAAGGATAAGGCTACGGTTATGGTCATTGTTATGGTTATGGCAATGGTTACTGCCACATTTACGGTTACAGTTACAGTTACAATTATGGTTACAATTACGATTACGATTACAATTACGATTATGGTTACAATTACAATTAGGGTTACAAATACGATTTCGGTTACAGTTACAGTTAGGGCTACAATTACGGTTACAGTTACAGTTACAGTTATGATTATGGTTGGGGTTACGGTTATGGTTATGATTACAGTTACGGTTACAGTTTCAGTTACAGTTACAGTCTCAGTTACAGTTACAGCTATGGTTCTGGTTACGGTTACGGTTAAGGTTACGGTTTTGGTTACAGTTAAGGTTACAGTTACGGTCACAGCTACAGTTAGGGTTACGGTTATGGTCACAGTTACAGTTATGGTTATGGTTACAGTTACAGTTATGGTCACGGTTACAGTTACGGTTATAATTACAGTTATGGTTATGGTTAGGGTCAGCTATATGTAACATAAAAACAAGCAGGCATACAAATATGTTTCGTGGATTTGCTTTATATTCAAAGGACCTTTGGAATATGAGTTCCACACTTTTTTTACATAACTAAAAAAGAAGTGGGATGAGGCTGTTGAATTTTTTTGACTTTTTCAAAATACCCAAAGCCCTCCCTTTAGGTCTCACTCTCAACCCGGGGTTTTTTACTTACTGCCTGTGTCCTCAGGCACACTGCCTGAATGACTACTTTTTCATGTAACAATTGAATTCTTTGTATTGACCCATTTTAATTTGTCAGATTTGGAAAATTTTGAGCTTTTTGGAAAGCCTACGACATAAGGAAACGGATTGCACAAGTATTGCAAAGAAATTTTTGCCAATTATTCGCATACAACCCGTCAAAAGAAATTTGCACATTTTTAGTTTTTCTTAATTACAAATCAGGTTATTTAAAATTTTACAATTTTTTTGTATATTTGAAATGGCATGGTCAAGGGCTATTAAAACATTTTTTGGACATTTTTTTCACACATTTTTACTATATAACTGGATTTTGCAACAAAAAAAAACAATTTTTGAAAATTTGCAATTTTTTAGCAGATTCTAAAAGTAGAAGGGGGTTCAGCTTCCTCCCTGTTCTTTTTGTTGGGATATGCATTTTAAATATTTAGGTAATTTGGCCGGATTTTGAATAAGAGATTATTATGAAATATTACAATACAGATATTTGCAGTTGCAGATAGCTCTACGCATGCTGACCGTTTTGAATAGCGAAAAGGCGATATTTTTCGAAAAATGTTTGTTCTATTTTTTAGTGTATATGTGTTGTGCACTCGGAGAGTGGCTCATATACGGCTAGGAAAACGACATTTTGAATGAGCGTTAAATACTATTAATGTTTGATTATAGTCAGGGGAACCGTGTTGTGCACTTGAAGAGTGACTCTAAGAAGGCTGGAAAGGAACTAACAAGACAGGAGAGGTTACAGAAGATGCTCAAGGAAGCGCAAATGAATGAGGTTAGACATGATATGTTAAACAGCTGGTTTCTCGCATAGTATGATTCTTCAGAGACGACGACATTTAGTGCTCCAGACAACTCTAATCTTGCTTCTTTCTCTGTAAAAGACTTTATTCAAGGCCACCCACAAAATGAAATCTTAATTTCGTTTTTATTTTATTTTATTTTTTGCCCTGGACTAACTCTTGAGCTATTTGGTTTTTTTGGTTTCTTAAATTCTATTTTAATACTTTTCATCTAAAACGCATTCGGTGACAAGAGATAATTGTATGATTAGTTAAATTGGGATCGAAAGTCACAGATTGCTTGACTAAGAACCTGGTTGTAATTTGGACAATACGTCACAAATAGTGAGTTTCATAAACAACGACAATATCGCTTTTCTTCTGACATTTATCGATTTTTGGATCCACCAACAAATTTGACAACCTGTAAAAAAGTGAAACCCTAGTACAACCTTCACTTCACTACCTTTACAGATTTTGCGGTCGTCTTTTTGGTTTACTCATTGTATCTAATTTTGCAGATGGGAACCGTGAAGCGGAACTTCAGAAATAAGAATTTTGACCAGATCAAAACTAAAATGAACAAACAGAAGAAAAGAGAACAAACCTTAAATTGGAGAGACAGGTTAATGAAACAAAAATTTATTTTAGTTTTCAGAGAATTTTTTTCTTTTGTCATAGAAATGTTTTCTGTCTAAAGAAATGTTTGTTTTCTAGAGATATGTGTGTTGTATAGAGAAATGTTTGTTTTCTAAAGAAATGTTTTTTTGTCTCTATAAATATTTGTTGTCTAAAGAAATGTTTATTGGCGAAAGAAATGTTTGTCGTCCAAAATTATATTTGTTGTTTACAGAAATTTTTGTTGTGTAGAGAAATGTTTGTTGTCTAGAGAAACGTTTTTTGTCCAAATAAATGTTTATTGTCTAGAAAAATGTTTGTTGTCTAGATAAATGTTTGTTGTCTAAAGCAATTTTGTTGTCAAAAGAAATGTTTTTTGTTTAAAGAAATGTTTGTTGTCTTGAGAAATGTTTGTTATCTTGAGAAATGTTTGTTGTCGAAACAAATGTCTGTTCTCTAAAGAAATGTTTAGTACGTTGATTATCAAGAGATGTATCTGTGTCTAGAGATATGTTTGTTGTCCAAAGAAATGTTTGTTCTCTATAGAGAAATGTGTTTTGTTTACAGAAACTTTTGTTGTCTAAAGGAATTTTTTTGTCTAGAGCAATTGTGTTGTATGAAGAAATGTTTGTTTTCTAAAGAAATGTCTGTTGTCTAAAGAAATGTTTGTTTTCTTGAGAAATGTTTGTTGTCTAAAGAAATGTTTGTTGTCTAAAAAAATGTTTGTTGTCTGGAGAAATGTTTGTTGTCTAAAGAAATGTTTGTTGTCTAAAGAAATGTTTGTTGTCCAGAGAAATGTTTGTTGCCTAAAGAATGTTTGTTGTCTAAAGAGTTTTCTAAAGAAATGTTTGTTGTCTAAAGAAATGATTGTTGTTGAAATAAATGTCTGTTCTATAAAGAAATTTTTATTACGTTGATTATCAAGAGATATATCTGTGTCTAGAGAAATGTTTGTTGTCCAAAGAAATGTTTGTTCTCTAGAGAAATGTTTGTTCTCTAGAGAAATGTTTGTTCTCTAGAGAAATGGTTGTTGTTTACAGAAACTTTTGTTGTCTAGAGATATGTTTGTTGTCTAGAAAAATGTTTATTAGCTAAAGAAAAGTTTGTTGTCTAAAGAAATGTTTGTTGTTTAAATAAATGTTTGTTGTTTAAAGAAATGTTTGTTGTCTAAACTACTAGAGTAAATATTACTCCTTAGATAAATGTTTGTTGCTTAGGGAAATGCTTAATGTCTAGAGAAAAGTTTGTTGAGAATTCTTTGTTGTCTAAGGAAATTGTTTTGTCTAGAGAAATTTTGTTGTAAAAAAATGTTTGGTTGTCAAAAAAGATGTTTGTTGTCTAGAGAACTGTTTGTTTTCTAGTGAAATTTATTTGTCGAAAGAAATGTTTGTTGTCCAGAGAAATGTTTGTTTTCTGTGAAATTTATTTGTCTAAAGAAATGTTTGTTGTCTAGAGAAATGTTTGTTGACACTAACCGTGCTATGGCAGTGGTTCTTGGAGAAAAAGACAACAAAGAAGTTCTTGAGAAAAGAAAAAGATCCGAAAAGAAAGAAAGGATGAAGATGAATAGGTAATAAAACATTAATTTGAAAAAATAAATTGCTTTCTGAAAAAGGCTAAAATATTTATCATAGCCTTTCTTTGATTTTCATTAGAAATCTTCTTTTTGGAACATTTTATTAAATAGAAACCATTCAAGAATATTTCGGTTTTCAAAGCTGTATACGTATATGGAAAAATTAAAAAAAAAAGGTAAAGGGTCAAAATAAATAATTACATGAGGTGATACGACTATTGATCAATGTCTTTCAACAAATGTGTCTATTTGCAGCCATTTTGATAAATAAATATACAAATTGTTCTATTTATTAAAAACTCGTTTTGATTACAGAGAAATAGACGACGAAGTTGATTTGGATTGGAAAGTTTACTTCAGAAAGGTGATATTAACCCTATTCCTGCGGGGGGTTGGGGGGGGGGGTCCATTTGACCCCCCTGTATTTTTTTTACACAATTCAAAAAGTATTGGTCTGAGGCTGTTGAAATTTTCTGAACTTTCCTAAATACCCATAGCCCTCCCTGAGCTTTTATACTTACTGCCCGAGTTCTCAGCCATACTGCCTAAATGATATATTTTTCCTGTAACAGATTTTTGTTTTGACCCACTTTCTGTTGTCAGATTTGATAACTTTCAGCTTTTTGGAAAGCCTATGACCTAAGGAAACGGATTGCACAGTTGTGCAAAGAAATGATCGTAAAGTTTTTGCATAATTACAACCCCTCAAAATAAAGTGTTGATTTTTAGTTTTTCATAAAAACTGATTTTGCAAAAAAAATCAACTTTTGCAAATTTGCAATTTTTTGTTTAAATTTAAAAAATTAAAATTATCTGTTTCTTTTAGCTGTGAAGTTTTGAATGTGGAGTTGCAAAAAAAAACGCTAATATTATTTTATTGCTTACATAAAACCTAATTTCTGATATTTATAATTAGATCAAGTTTTTAAAGGCATTGTTGTGTTTAATTGATCGCAATCTTTAAAAAAGGAAACTCAATAAAATATTAAATTATTTGATGTTTAATATTCTGTATAGGCTGAACACGCGGAGAGGAGAAAGGATTTCGCGGTTGCAATGGAAGAAATAAGGGAGGAGAAAAATTAAGAAGAAAAAAAGTTTAAAAAATTGATTAATAAACTATACATTTTCCAATTAGCATCAATTGAGGTTGATTCTCTTTAAAACTTGCCCTATTAAAGTATAAACTTCAATTTTTCGTGAACACTACCTTTAAAGGAATGCTTTGTCTGCACTGAGACGAGACAGGATCAATGCTCTGATGAGCTACGATGATATAAACAGAATGGTTTGTTTAAAACTCAGGTAATTCAAATGTTTGACCTTAATAGGATTGATCACAGACTTAGATAATTTAGAGGTTCAAACAATTGAACAGAAACCACTTGCCTATTTCAAGGTGCAAACCCTTTGCTAATGGTGGATGTCAAAGTATACAACAGTCAACAAGAACGGGTTCACACCCTTGGCTAATGGTGGATGTCAAAGTATACTTCAGTCAACAAGAACGGGTTCACACCCTTTGCTAATGGTAGATGTCAAAGTATACTACAGTCAACAAGAACGGGTTCACACCCTTTGCTAATGGTAGATGTCAAAGTATACTACAGTCAACAAGAACGGGGTTCACACCCTTTGCTAATGGTAGATGTCAAAGTATACTACAGTCAACAAGAACGGGTTCACACCCTTTGCTAATGGCGGATGTCAAAGTATACTACAGTCAACAAGAACGGGTTCACACCTTTTGCTAATGGTGGATGTCAAAGTCAACAATACAGTCAATGAGAATACATTCCTACTTTTGCTAAATCAATATGTATTTAAAAGTAAAATGCATGCAGTTCTGAAAATGTTTTGATTATTTGATTGCTGTATAAATGCATAATTGAATGCATATTCAGTTGAAATTTCATTATGAATAGGTTGTTTCAACAAATACCGATCAGAACAAAATTATTAAACATTATATTTTTAAGGGGCTCATATTAATTGTTATATACATGGACTTCTACCTATCGGCTGGATATATATTTGGAACCTATCAGCTGTATATTTATATTTGGACTCTTACCTATCAGCTGTATATAAATTTAGACTCCTACCCTTTAGCTTTATAAAAATTGGACTCCAACCAGCTGTATATATTTGAACCCTACCTATCAGCTGTATATATTTTTAGACTCCTATCTATCAGCTGTATATAGGGATGTTAACGTTTTCATTTTTCAGAAAAACTATCGTTTCGTTATGAAAACGACGACGAAAAATCGAAAACAAAACAATCGTTTTTAAAAACGATCGTTTTTCAAAACAATCGTTTTTATAAAATTCGTCGTTTCGTTAACGATCATTAACGAAGACCCTTCGTTAACGATCGTTAACGACAACCCTTCGTTAACGATCGTTAACAAAGTGAGGAAACCGACATGAAGGCATCTGTACTTAACATTGAGTGGTTTTTAAGAAAATATGAAGGAGTTTTGACTCCCCCACATACTGTTAAACTTCATGTAAGACGACATTCAATAAAGTTTCATGTAATTTTTTTCCAATAAAGTTCGTCGTTTCGTTAACGATCGTTAACGACAACCCTTCGTTAACGATCGTTAACATAATTGTCAATAACATTTTTTTAAAACGATAGTTTTTTCAAAAATTATCGTTTTTTTAAAAACAAGCGTATACAAAACGGTTGCAAATCGTTTTAATAAAAACGATCGTTTTCAAAAACGATCGCTATTCGTTTTCTAAAAGTTTAAAACGAGTGGGTCGTTTTTTAAAAACGATCGTTTTTGAAATCGAAACAAAAAACGATCGTTAGCTGCATACATATTTGGGCTCCTACCATTCAGCTTTATATATTTGGGCTCTACCTGTCAGCTGTATGTACATTTGGACTCCTAGCTATCAACTGTATACATATATTATTTGGAGTCTTACCTATCAGCTGTTTATATATATGTTTGGACTCCTACCTATCATCTGTATATATATATATATTTGGACTCCTACCTATCAGCTGTTTACATTTAAGCTCCTACTTAGCAACTGTATACAGATATATTTTGACTCCTACCTATCAGCTTAATATATATTTGGAATTCTCCCTATCAGCTGTATATACATGTTTGGACTCCTACCTATGAGCTTTATATATATATTTAGACTCCTACCTATAAGCTTTATATATTTGGAATTCTACCTATTAGCTATATAAATTTGTACTCCTACGTCTATCATCATATCGAATTTTCTGTGATTCTGTGATTTAATATTTATAAAACTTTAGAATTTGATAGAAATATTAAAAAAGAATAGATAGAAAAAAGAATATTGAAAAAAGCACCATATAGAAGAGTTGAACAAAAAAGTACAATTTTGCACCAGGCACCGCGTAATAACACTTTTTTTGGACTCACCCTGCATATAAATATTTGGACTTCTATCTATCAGCTATATTATTTTAGAGCAAAAATATTTCTGCACGCTAACGAACCCTCCCTGGCACTAGAGGATGCAAATGTAAGCATAAATTTTATAAAAGGATATGTTGTCAAAATGTCAAGTGACCCTCCATGTGAAATATTGTGGAATGTCAAATTCAAAACCTTGGAAACCTTAATCTCATCTATGATGTGGAAGATAGCGTCGTTTCTTTTGGGTTAAAAGTCTGTAATTCTGATAATTTTTCATTGTTTCTGGAGGAAAAAATACGCAACGCAATTTTGCAGAGACGCCACAAAAGAAAGTAAATAGTTTTCAAAAACAACATGATGAATATCTGAGGGTATTGTTGTGAATCAAACAATTCACCCTACCAATGGAGGGTCATTTAAAACAACTTTTATTGTTGCTTTAAAATAAAATTCAAAATATTTTGAAATTCTTTCAAAAATCTGGTTTCATGTAATAATGTAACAGTGGGCGAGTTTTGTTGATCTTTTACGATCAGCAATTCAAGGATTTTTTGGATCGCTGAGATCATAGCTACCAAGGGGAATCATGCCCCCTTTCCCCCCCCCCCCATCTTTAACCCTACGGTTGGACTTTAGAGTCCTATTTTGAATCCTAACGGATTTATTTGAGTTTGCATTTGGATTCTATAAATAACCCAAGCGACGCCGAATTTTCCGTTATCTTGAAGACCCAAGCGTTGGGGAGGGGGCGGAACAACCCCGGGGTAGCTAGGGTTAAATGCGATCCTAGGATGGAGCAAAATCGAAGGGGGACAGGCAGTTGATCGTCAGCTCCCTTGATCTAAAGGTCCCTTTGAAGAATTCCCCTATTTGATGAAACTGATTTGATTAATAATATTTAGTTTGTATAAGTGAGACGATGAAAATGAAAATGTAAAATGTCCCCTGTTTGATGGAACTGATTAGATTCATAATATTTAGTTTGTATAAGTATCGTTCGATTTAAAGTTTGTATCTTTTGTATATAAATATATTGTAAGAAAAACCGACTCGTTGAATATTTAAGAAACTCAGTGCATTGCTTTATTGATTTTTATTCATATACAATAATAATATTCTTTGAAGGATGTGTTCAAGGAGTTTCCCATGGATTTTGGGGCCCACTGCATTATGGTAAAAATATTTTAAATTTCTTTTTTTCTAAAGTCATTATTAAATAAGCTTATATCTAATATCCAATATATTTTTTATATTTTAAGAATTAAAGCTATTTTTATATTGTTCAAAATTGTTTTAAAACCACAATGTTTAGTTAAATTTGAAAATAAAAATATACATAGCTTATTTCTTAGTAAAACTCTTAAAACTGGTTTGGCTGGGTTACCCAAAATAGTCNTTTCCTTATTGCGATACAAATTCATAACATTTGATAAACTTTTAGAAAGCTCTTGGGCTCTAGTCTGCAAAAAAATCAAATTTGCTAAATTCCAAATAACAAACAAAAAGTGGGCGAACCATGCATGCATGCATGATAAGTCAAGCATTTTTAAAAACCTCTTGCCGCGGCGAGTTCAAATATGAAAAAAAAAAATTTGCAAAATTTCGAAAAAATAAATTTGTATTCAAGGAAAACTGAAAATATGCAAAGTCTCTGAAAGGACATCTGTGAAAACATTTATGCAAAATTTCTTCGCAAAAATTTAGAAATATGCTTACTTTTGTTAAAGACTTTCCAAAGAGCTATAAAAAGTCTAAATCCAAAGACCGGAAGTAGGTCTAAATTTAGATTTAGTCGGACAAATGGAAAATAAGGCATTCAGGCAGTAGGTATAAAAGCCCCACTTTGAATCTAAATTGAGGGGCATGTCTAAGTTTCAAAAAGTGTTAATAGCTTCAGACCAATACTTCTCAAAAAAAACGTCAGCCACTTTAAGATAAACTTTAGTTTGATTTTGCTTTATGATTCTGTACATAGACTTGAAAAGAACTCAGTATTAAAAAGCAAAGATTGAGTGGAATAACAAAGCATGGTTGCACACACACATATATTTACATTATAATGATACAAACGATTAGTCTTGGACCAACTAAACTAAAGTTGATCTTAATACACATGACATTCGCCTGGAGCAAATATACTATGTAATATATATACATCAATTGGTGCTTTACATGCTGTTATCTAGGCTGATTGTTTGAACATGAATTTATCTAGGCTGAATGTTTGTGCATGAATATATCTAGGCTGAATGTTTGTATATGAATATATCTAGGCTGAATGTTGGTACATGAATATATCTAGGCTGAATGTCTGTACATGAATATATCTAAGCTGAATGTTTGTACATGAATATATCTAGGCTGAATGTTTGTACATGAAAGGGTTTCTAGAAAGGTCTCTGAGTGTTTGGCACAAAGCAGCTCATCTCCGACCCAATGTTGAAGAGGTAAATATGCTCCAATTTTTACAATTAAGATAATTTATTGGCCGACGGTAATAAATAAAATTTGTAATAAAATGACTACAGTGATGACATTGAAACTGTAGAGCAGGAAGACAACATTTAACGCTTATGTTGTTATAAAAGCAATTAGTTTACTAACTGCTGGACAATCAAGTGAAATGGGAACCCAATGCTCCCAAGGTTACTTAAAGTTTACCCACAGTTGACCGATTTTACCGAGAAACTAAATCTTCGCTGTGAAAGTCGACACACTCAATTTAGATCCTCAAAACCAAGCTCAGAATATTCTCGTGGGTCTTCAGAGTTTCCCAATCAAAATTTGAGGCAAATCGGTCCAGGAGTTCCTGATCGGACAAACTAACAAACAGAGATTACAATTTTCTATATATAGATATAAAACATGTATTGCATTATAGCAATATGCCCTGAAGATTGAGAAAAGCAAGAACAATTATAAATTGTTAAAACATGTGAAAATGGTATTTAATCAATATATATTTCTTTACTCTAATGGTTGCAACGAATATATATATAATGTATATATATACAGAGATATGTATATATATATGTATAGGTTCAGGTGTCTATAGATAAAGTACGGAATACTCTAATGGTTGCAACTAGAAATTGTTTCAGTGCTCCGGATACCAACACCATCATTCAGGTAAGGAGCCTTAACGTCGGAGATAAGAACCACACAGAAAAAAACTTCTGGACAAGACATATTTCAAAAATAAAAATTACAAAAAAATATTTCAGAAAAAAAACATTAGAACAGTTAAATTCGAAAAATACAAATTTTGAAAAAGTCAAATTCCGCAAAAGATCTGGACTGAATTTGGGGGGAAAATAGGATCAAAGGTTTCCATGAATGTGTTTTGATTACTGTTTGTAACTAATGATGGACAAAACATGGTTCGCTTTTAAACTTTAAAGGTGTTCATAGACTTTGTAATTTGTAAAGGTTTTAACGTTTAAAAATTGTTTTTTGGCCAAAGTTTTTTTTTAACTATTCAAATGCGATAATATAAGGAAAACAAATCAAATAAATTCATTCTAAAAATAAATGTTTTTTGTTTATTTTATCTCAGGGTCCAAATTTGGCTTTTTGCATACAGGAAAACCAAATGTGAAGAATAAACAATTTTTAATTTGTAGAACTTCTCCGATTTTTGTAGAAACCAACCCGTTTAAAAGTAAAAAAAAAACCTGAAAAGTTGTAAACAAATGAACAAAATATTTATGAAGAAGTAACAAAACAATCAAGACTTATTTTTTAATTGCACACAAGAAATGTAAAAAACAATAATTTTGGCGTAAAATGTGTTCAGGCCATGATTGAAGATTATAACTCTGTTGATAATTATCTAAACTCGGTTTCTGATGAAACAGGTAACTACAGTGAGAGCTTTAGAATAATTGAAAATTGACGTCTTTTTATTTCTTTTCATGATAACATGTTGCTGAAGGTTTTTATTATAACTTGTAACTTGTACAGATGTGCCCTGAACAGTAATTGGACAGCGAAATTTTTTTTAATCTTTTTAACCCCATTATTAGTCTGGTTTAGGTTTGAATATACTTTAAAAATTTAAAATCATACAAAATTACATGTTTTGAAAAATAGTCTTTACTTGGTCAAATAATCTACTCTGGCAAGACTTAGCTCACCAAACTAATTCTACTTATCGGTTCACCAAACCAATTCTACTTATTGGTTCAACAAACCAATTCTACTCTTTGGTTCACCAAACTAATTCTACTTATTGGTTCACCAAGCCAATTCTACTTATTTTTTGTTCTTTTTAAATTTTGTGTAAAGATCCATATTGTTCAAAAATCTAAATTTTTTCAGAAATCAAAATTTTATTCTTTAAAAATTCGATTTTTTTTAATATCACGGGCAACGCCGGGCACATTAGCTAATATGCAATAAATGACTGACAAGTGGAAGTGGGTCAAAACAAAGATTTAGTTTGTTACAGGAAAAAGCAGTCATTCAGGCAGTATGCCTGAGGACTCAGGCAGTTAGTATTAAAGCCTGGTTTTAGGCCTAAAGGGAGGGCTTTGAGTAAAGGAAAATAAAGATTTTAAAGAACAAGATCGTTTAAACTATGTTTAAACTCATGTTACAGATCTTACTATGCAAAAAAACATAGTTAATCTTTTAAAAACTATCTAGAGGTATTAACAGACCCCAACAAGAACTTGTCCGAAAAAGAGAAACGGACCAAGAAGCCAATACCGATCAAGGTAACCAAGAAAACTGATTTTAATATCATAATTAATGAATATTATGTATTGTCAATTATTTACGAAATGTCTTCATTGAATGTGTTGCGTCCTCATAAGGGAAAATGTTCTTTGTTTTGATTTAAAATATTATTATTTTTACGCCGAAGGGGTAATTGAATTAATGAACTATAGAAATTGTGTGTCTAGGTGCTGAGCTCTCAGGAGAAGAAGGATGAGAAGAACCTGCTGGGGACCAGCTACTCAGACAAGGAGTTCTTAAAAAAGGTCTTCAATGTTTTAATTCACATTCATAGTACTATTTAGGTGTACTGTAGATGTAATATATACATGTGTACTGTACAGGTGTACTGTAAATGTAATATATACATGTGTAATGTTTAGATATACTGTAGATGTAATGCTTACATGTGTACTGTACAGGTGTACTGTAGATGCAATATATACGTGTGTACTGTACAGGTGTACTGTAGATGTAATATGTACAGGTGTACCGTAGATGTAGTATGTATATGTGTGCTGTCCAGGTGTACAAGGAGTGTTCAGACAAGGAACTGATTCAAGAAGTTACAGAGGAAGGATTTCTATTCCTAGTTGGAAGGTAAAGTGGAAAATACATATCTAATAATAATTTGAATTATTTTCTTAAAAAAGGGACTGTTAACGATATATCAAGTGTCCCTTTTCTTGAAAAAAGAAAAAAAATAGCAATACACAATTTTTTAAATTGAAAAATTAAATTGGAAGGAAAAATTTATTTTAATAATTTTTCTCTTATTAATCTATAAATTGTAATGAGAAAGAACCTCTAAAAACTTTCCCTGGGATGTTTAGAAAGATGATAATTTTCCCGTCTGATAATTGAAGGATTACAGTATGGTTATGTTGACGTACTAAGCTTAGAGGTGTAAGAAATATTTTTTTTTGCATTTTTTTGAAAAAGTTTTTTATCAAACTTGGTGATTGCAATGCAAATATTTAAATAAAACCTTCTTTTATCGAAATGTTTTTTTTTTCTAAATTCACTTTGTAAAGAGTTTAAGTTCAAATAATTATTGATAATTATTGCTTTAGATCGAGTAGATATTCCTAAACATTCCGATGAAAACCTAAGTTAATTATTTGGACTAAAACTCTTTACTAAGTAAAAGAAAAAAACATGTATGTTTAAGAAAGTTTTATATAAATATATGCAATCACCAAGAACGTTTCCAAAATATGCAAAAAAAAATATTTCTGACACCCCTAAGCTTAGTACGTCAATATAATTCACCAACACCATACCATGCAGTCCTTCAATTATCAAACAGGGAAATTTTCATCTTTTTATACATGCCAGGGAATTTTTTTTTTTTAATAAATGCAGTCCACTATGCTTTAAAACTGCAGTAAGTAGTAAAACAATACAATGCGGTTAAAAAAAAAACTTTATTATGGGGGGGTGGGGGGGCTCTCTGTATGCAAATCTAATATTAAATATTAAATATTTAAGCTAAGAATAAATCATTTTTCAGAGCTGAGTTTTGGCGTCAACAGCAACCTTTATATTCAAAGGGGAACAAAAATCTGCAAAAATCTGAAACCGGTGAATCTGGTGAAAACTCTGAAACTTCTGAAACTTCTGACAGCTCCTCTGCAAGGGGTGCCGATATTCATGATTCAATATCACCCCCCAGTTCTTAAAGGAACTGGATTCAATCTTTACCCCCAGTTTTTAAAGGGACTGGATTCAATATCACCCCCAGTTCTTAAAGGGACTGGATTGAGTATCACCCCCCAGTTCTTAAAGGGACTGGATTCAATCTTTACCCCCAGCCCAGTTCTTAAAGGGACTGTTTTCAATCTTTACCCCCAGCCCAGTTCTTAAAGGGACTGAATTCAGTCTCACCCACCAGTTCTTAAAGGGATTGGATTCAGTCTCACCCATCAGTTCTTAAGAAATTGTAGGAATTGTAAATGTTATTTCAAGGGACCTTACAGATTTCACAACAGTATCCTTGAAAGGTTTTTCTGATCTAATATGAAATAAACAAATATACATAATATATGTTTTTTCTTTTTAAAACTAATTCTTTTTAACTGACTTGTTCATTTCTGTTGCAAAAAAATAGAGAGTTATTAAAATTAAATTCTTTTAATTTTAGAAAAACAACGATGCTAAACCCTTATAAGCATTTTGATTAAAAATGCAGTTTCGCTTTCTGGTGGGATGAATTATTTCTCTCTATAGGAAGTTCAATGTTGTATTATTATACGAAGTTAGTTTCTAAATACCTGCCCTAATCGTTCTATCGATATTTCACCGGGGATTTTGTTGTTTACTTGTGAAACAGGAAGACGACATTCAAGTTATACTTGATAAACTTCTTAACAGTAAATTATATTGATTTAATTTTGATCGCTTCTTGTTTATAAGTCGTATTCTATAACTATTTTTCTATAACCAGACCCATGCCAAGCATTTTACGTTTCTATATTTTCTAATTTTTGAAAAAATGATTCAATTTCAACATAAAACTCATAAATCCTCCTAACCTGAAAACGATAGTTAAACGATCATTTTTTGTTTCTTTTTTCAATAGTTTACAAAAACGATCGTTTCGTTTTCGGATAAAAACGATCGTTTTTAAAAACGACCCACTCGTTTGGAACTTTTAGATAACGAATAACGATCGTTTTTGAAAACGATCCTTTTTAGAAAAACGAATTGCGACCGTATTTATACGATTGTTTTTTAAAAACGATCACTTTAGAAAAAACGATTTGTTAAAAAAAATATTTACAATTATGTTAACGATCGTTAACGAAGGGTTATCGTTAACGATCGTTAACGAAGGGTTGTCGTTAAGGATCGTTGACGAAACGACGAGTTTTATAAAAACTTTCGTTTTTAAAGACGATCGTTTTGTTTTCGATTTTTCGTCGTCGTTTTCATAACGAAACGATCGTTTTTCAAAAAAATGAAAACGTTAACATCCCTACCTTCAGGTTTATTTTACGCCATAACTTGATTTTAAAAGACGTCTTCCAATTCAAAGTCTTCAGCTGTTATTACTGCCCACTAAGTAGGATATTCAAGTAATTAACACTTACAGGGTTACTTACAAAGAATGGACTTCAGAAACGACTTTACAAGATTTAAAGTGTCTTGGTCCTTTTACTTATAAACTTGTTTCTTTCTTTTCCTAGTCATTAAATAAGTCATTAAAAGACAATATTTAAAGGAAGTATTTGCGAAAAATGAAAGGGGGAATAGGCTTACGGAGAAAAAAACGCTTTTGATCGCTACATATCTTTCTTTTATCTGTTGCGTCTTTAAGAGAAAATTGTTAAAAACAACTTATACTGAAGAACGTAGCGTCCATATAAATTCAGAAAGTTGCAACATTCAACTGGGATCGTAAAATAATCAATATAATTCCAAACAAATCATTCAAATATTACAAATAATAGTCATCGATTATTTTTGGACGCATTCGCGTATAGTTATTCTTTCAAAATATTTAAGATTTTGTTTTAAATAATATTTGCTGGCGATGGATTTTCGAACATTCCCGGAAAGTATGAAAATGTCGTCTTAATTTTCAAAAATCCTCGAAACAGAAATAAAAGTTTTCAAAGGTAACTCTCAGATCATAATAAATAAATAAATAAATACATATCAATTATAGAGGAATGCGTCGAAAATTTATTGATGATTGTTGATTGTCTGAATGATTTGTTTGGAATTAAATTCATTTTTTTACGATCCGAGTTGAATGATGCAATTTTTTGAAATTGTATGAACGCAACATCTTTAGTATAAGTCGTTTTTAACAATTTTGATTTATTGTAAAATAATTAATAATATCTATTAGAAAGATATTTATTTTTAATTTAAATTAATTTAAATCCTATACTTTCAAAATTGTTGGTAAATTTTGAAAGAAACAATGGTAGCAAACTTTATTTTAACGAGAAATTATTTTCTTTTAAAAATCCAAGATTGTTTGTATGTAAGTGTTCATATTTACTGGGACACCCTGTAGAATAATTTAAATGTGTTCACAATCATATTTACTGGGACAATCTATAGAATAATTTAAATGTGTTCACCATCATATTTACTGGGACTGTTACGCGACCAAGACACGTATAAAATGATCTATAAAGATGGTTGCCCCTGTGTGAGTACGACGCCCCTGATTCCTCGTACTGTGTGCAGACAGAAGTTTCCAGAGGCCGGTTTCTGGAGCTTGTTTATAATAAATCTAGCGTACACTTTTCGGCGCAGTTGAGATTCAAATTTAAAACGTTTTATTACGACGCCATATTTTTTTTGTTTAAACCGAATTGTGACACGATGTGGAGGCTCAATATGGTAAGCTACGCTAGATTTATTAAAAAATATAATGTATTTTGTTTATAAAGTAAATGTACAGGTTTTTTTAGCCCTATTATTCATTAAATTAATAGTATTATGTATTATATTCACGTTTTTTCTTTGCTTTGTATTTTAATGGCACCGAAGGTTAAGAGTGTCACATGGGCTTACTAGGCGAGCAGCCCAGGCGGCTATATATCTAGTACCGGCTCGATAGTACAGTATATTATTTTGTACTGGCACAACATATTTCAAATGTCGTCCGCTATCTTCGAGTATGATAACTCAAATTTTGTTTCAATATTTTTTCCGTAGCAAAACAATTAGGCGCAACTTCTCTGGGGGGGGGGGATATAGATGATGGACAAATTAAAATAAATTAAGATTAACTATTTCGCCTTACATTATTTCAAAACTTGCAATCTTTTGTTTGCAATTGAATAATTGCACTAAATTGTGTCTGGTTATTTTTTAAATTA